CTCGGGCCTTCATGATCCTTCTAGAAACTCATCACGTGTTACCAGCGTCATGTGAGTTCCGCTGTCGTAACAATATGAAATGCTTCAATGTCACAAGATGATTTATGGCTAAGTTTGTAAAGCGTGCTAGATTAACTGATTGTTAGAAGTCATCGTAGACATATTAAAGAACTTTGTTGAGTAAGACAACACTTAGTTTTGCTCAATAATTCAGGTTCTCAGTGATTTGTGATAGAGTATTATTTTACTAAAAGCCGGACTTACACAGAAAACATGTAGCAAGTTTAAAATCGTAAACAGAAGTATTGTGCATTAATTGAAATAATTTATTATGTAATTCCTTTTATTATTTTAGAAAGTCATCATATTAATTTGATGCTACATCTGTGCCTGTAAGGTCACTGTACATTAATACTTATAGCTCAATGAGAAATTTGAAATTCAGAGTAATATTTATATGTAATCATAACTTCTTTTAAATAAAACTAAGTAATTTATGTTGAAATGCCTCCCCCTTGCTTAGTGGTAAGTCTAAGGGCTTATGACGCTAAAAGTTTGATTTTGATATCTGCTGTGGACAGAGCACATACAGCCTATTGTGTAGCTTTACGCTGAACAACAAACTTTTGCTGAAAAATATATAAGTATATTAATTCGATTTCATTATATTCTCATGAAATAATATACTTAGGTGGGTTCAAACCATGCTGCTACCAAGTATTCTTCCGGTGTTCAGAAAAAAGGAACTATTTTAAAAATTACTTTGCTCTTTAGAGATAAATTTAACTCATTAAAGCATACATTAGTGATATTGTGTTCATTATTCTTAGTAAATAGTCAAATTTTTAACTAACCTTTGATGGTCCTGAAAAGTTTTGTTGCTACAAAATTTCGTGCCTAGCTTCAGAACTCTAACTGATGAACTTACTTGAGTTGTTTCAGTTGGTGAGTTGATGACAATCCGAGGGGTTGCACTGACTCTTCATGTAGAGACGGTTGCCTTGCAGGAAGTAGAAGAGAGTTTGTTTACTGGTGCTACCAGTGAGTGACCTTCTTGTTGTATACCGTCCTATTGATTCCTTACTATAAATTTTATGCTACACAGCCTATAAGTCAGTTG